AGGTTCACAGATTAGAGGAACAGGTTAAACAGTGGAAGACCCGCTATGAGAAGGCAAAGGCGCAGGCAGGACACCTTCGCACATCATCTATCGGGACAGAAATTCGTTCCGATGCCGCAACTCTCACAAGGGATCGTGATATTTTCCATGAAAATGGCTTGGTCAAGGATGTCCATGTCGCGAAGTTCCAGATTTCTATTGATGAGCTGCTGCACACTGCACGCCACGACGATTACCATGTCGTGACACGACAGATCAATGCTGTCGTTATCGCGGTACGTCATATGCTGCAGGACGTGCAAGAAAGCCAAGATCCTAGCGATGGGTCATCGGCCCTGCGTTCTAAGGCTATAAGCAAGCTTTCCACCACCGCGAACAATCTGATCACTGCCGCCAAGAACTTCGTGAAGTCAAATGGGCTCTCGCCGGTCTCCCTTTTGGATGCCGCCGCTTCTCATCTGTCGGCTGCTGTTATTGAACTTATTCGCCTCGTAAAGATCCGATCTACTCCTCCTGATGAGTCCCATGAGGACGACGATGAGGTTCAGCTTAGCCAATTGAAGTCCCCTGACTACTTCAGCGTGGCTCCTAGCCAAAGCCGCCACAGTCGCAATGACTCCGTCTACAGTGCCATAGGCCCCCCGCCTGACGCTCCCAACGGAATTTCAGTGACAGTGCAAGACTATACCTCGCAAGCTGAAACCCACGAACTTCAGGAGATGAAGGTATGTTACAATATCTCTAATTACAAGTAACGTGTGCTAATTGAAGCGACAGCTCTACGTTGAGGATCAGACGAATGGCCTGGTTCAGTCAATCCAAACCCTCATTGACAGCATCCGAGCCGAGCGTGATTTGACCACAATCAGCACCCATGTCTCTGCTATCTCTTCTGTGGTGACAAACGTTACCTCATCGACCCAGCACTTCATCAAAAGACCAGAGACTAGCCCGGCTCTTCGGCAACGCATCGATCCTATCCTCGAGATGTTGGAATACCACAAGCATCGCCTTGTAGGTGCTGCGGCCGAGGGCGACGCCTCTAGCAGTCCCGAGGGGCTTCGGGAAGTAACCAACAAGCTTCCACCTATCGCCTTCGAGATTCCGCGGGTTACCAAGGAGCTTGCTCATCAATTGGACCCCGCGAGCCTTGAGGAGGACGACGATTTCCGATAGTTCATCCGCCTGACGGTCATCATGATATTGTTTCTTTCTAGACTTCTTCAGCCCGAGAATCGCAGTGGCGTTATTCTCTTTTCACTTCTATCTCTTTCTAGCATGCTGATTTGGCACCATGATACCAACCGAACTGCTGGACCTTGCAATCTCGCTTTCCTTACTTTTGCAGTTATCACGCATGACAACGAGCAACCATGTGGAACGACGTGTTGTAATCAGGTGGAGCTTTACGACAGATTTTTGTTTTCTACCAGACGCACCCTGAATTCGGGAGCGATGTATTTTTATTGAGCTTCTACCACTTCTTATCTTCTGTTGATTTGTTCTGGATTTGCGATTGATACTTTCTGCTTCTATTTGATTAGCGCTTTTCTCTTCCTCTCTGCATGATGGTCCTTGTGGGACTGGATTTCTTTCTTGTTTTCTTCTGAAATTATACTGCGGCATTTTCTTTACACGTTCAACTCCCGAAACTGCTTCTATTTTCTTCCTGACTTTCAGACGGGGGCCTTCTTTCTCTTGTGTGCCGTGGTTATTATTCTCCTGGAGTCCGTTTAGATGGCTCGATAGATAGACTTTGGTGATGGTTGTATTTCACTGGCTGCGGCCATTGCTTTCCGCGATGAATGAAGTATTAAATGTTGACAATTTGCCTGGTAGTAGATATCCGAGAAAAGTATAAGAATTGCTTTGGTATGTAGTAGTGCATAGGTGTGCGCCGAGTGGTCAATCACGTGTCCGACCAGCTGTCGAGCTCCAATAAAGTGAGAAACGAACCCGATCTGGTTCTGGAAAGCTTCCGTCCGAACCGGGTCTTAGCTAATCATGAGCTATCCCCGGTTGGGGCAGTAGCAGGAATATTTTCCTCCGCTGTCCGACGCGGTTTCTCCAGTTCTTTTTGCTCTCCACGCCAGCAAAGCAGCAAGCACCCAGCTACGGGCAATTCGTGAGAGACAAGATATTCTTATTCCTCATTCTTTCTAGATAGTACTGTAAGTGATGCATCCCAATTGCATTGGCCGACCCCGATGGTATTAGGGGGGGAACCAATGGCAGCACATCCCCCTGGTCCGGTTGCTTGGAGTGAGAAGCTACTTAGTTAGCTGGTAGCTACTTTACTTACTGGACGGTCGGGGGACTTCCATGTTCTTCCACGGAGCGGCCTGAGGCCCACGGCGGATGGCCTGGCAAGTTGCATGATTGGCGCGCATGGGCTGACGCACAGGACGGAAGCGGTTAGCAGCCAGTGCCCCTCCAGCAACAATGTTCTCCCGAAGCCTGAGGTCAACAATAACCCCACCTTGCTCGCCCTTCGCTTCTCGTCCCCTCTTCTCCATCCCCAATTGCAAGCAATCTTCCTTCCTCTCTCTTCGTCCTTTCCATCAATCATCCGCAGCCATGTCTGGAAACACCAAGGCCTTCTTTGATATCCAGTACGCCCCCGTGGGCTCCAGCGCCCGTAAGTTGTTCTCTTCTTCTTCTTCTCATCGTCCTTCTACTGCTGTCGTCACCCTTTTTCTGCATGGATGATTTTACCCCTCCTTTGAAGAGAAAGTGGGAGTACTGGGGGGGGCTTTCCAAAGAAAGCACTCCCACAATCACGAATCTCTTTTCCTGCCCTTTGATTGACGTCTATCCTCTCAATGGTTACTGGATCCTTTGGCTGACTTTGACCTCTTCCCCTGCTCTCTAGCCAAGACGGGCCGTGTCGTCTTCAACCTCTTCGAGAAGGACGTCCCCAAGACTGCTAAGAACTTCCGTGAGCTCTGCAAGCTTCCCCAGGGTCAGGGTTACAAGGGCTCTACCTTCCACCGTGTCATCCCCCAGTTCATGCTCCAGGGTGGTGACTTCACCCGCCACAACGTGAGTAATCCTGCTATTGTGACCTCGCCTCCGTGGGCGGCTGTATGAGAGAGAACAATTTGACTGATATAATCATCCAGGGTACCGGTGGTCGCTCCATCTACGGTGAGAAGTTCGCCGATGAGAACTTCATCTACAAGCACAACAAGCCCGGTCTCCTCTCCATGGCCAACGCTGGTCCCAACACGTAAGTTCTAGTTCTGTCGCTCGTAAATCTAGGCCCCAGGCAGCTAACAGCATCTGCAGCAACGGCTCCCAGTTCTTCATCACCACCGTTGTCACCTCTTGGCTCGATGGCAAGCACGTCGTCTTCGGTGAGGTTGCCGATGCCGAGTCCATGCAGGTCGTGAAGGAGATCGAGGCTCTCGGCTCCTCCTCCGGCTCCGTCCGCTCTGCCGTCAAGCCCACCATCGTCGACTGCGGTGAGTTGTAAGCGGTTTTCAAGGATAACAGATGGCAAAATTGGGATATCGTCCCACGGGCTGGTGAAAACCAGCATCGTGAGGATTAATGGTGGACAATTCTCTTTATCCCTCTACCCGGTGTAATCTAGAGTGTCCATACCAGTTGTCAATAAGTTTCCAACAAGCCAGTGCCGTTGTAGTTGAGTATTTGCAGTATAGTCAACCATAGTCGTAGCCAGTAATGTTTACGTACAATATCTACAGAAAAATGAAATAATTTCCACCTCGTAAATTAGCACACCGTGACGAAATCCCAAGAACGTGGCAACCTAGACAGGCACTAAAACCCGTACTACATTACAATTCAACCCCGCTCCAACAACCTTTTCTCCCTCTTTTCTCCGGTGGGGGAGGGAAAGAGAGGAGGGAGGGGGGAAAGTTCGAGATCTGGCAATTCGACCCTCGGATTGGTTTCCCGGTTCCGAATACGGCCGGCTTTCCCATTCCACTTTGCTTTCCTTGCTTGCTGCGTGCTGCGTGCTGCTGTGTTGCATGCAGCTAGCCTTAATGAGACTACCTATCTTTAATGTAGAGTAGTATGAGCAGGGAAAGCCTTTATTTCAACTTTCTTTCTTCCTTGATTTTGGTTGATAATATAGATCTGCACCATGATATAGTATTATAGAATGGATAGATGAATGAATGGATGAATGGTATGTATACGTAAGTACCTCGAAAGTTAGTTAAGTAAAAAGTGAGGGGTAAGTTGAGAGCCAGCCAAGGCTGGGGGGCTAAAATATGATGTGATCGGATCACGAGTATATGTCGTAGTTGTTGTGTGTTTTTGTGTAGGATTGGATTGGATTGGATTGGGTTGAGTTAGTGGCATTGCCGACATAGCCATTCAATGAGTCGAGGAATGAACTGGTTTCCCGCGCCAGTAAATAACTTACTTTAGCTGTGGTGGTAGTAAGTAAGATATAACCGGTTTTAAAGTTATCCGGGGTCATGAACTGACACTATCTTATCTACTAATTATTGACATGTTGGTAGCTATAGCTATAGCTACTACTACGATAGTATCGTTTCACATGGATAATTCTGTAACATGTTCTATACATGTTTCAGATAGTAAGTTTGGGTGTGTGTTTGGTCTGGGTGAGGTTTTTATGTGGTAGGGGATGGATGGTGTTTGATTGGTGCTTTTACTAGGGTTGGTAAATAACTAGCTGTGTATGGTGTTTTCATCATGGTATACTGGATGAGGGATAGGATATTCATTACATGTAGTATACTATTGTGTTAAGTTTTTATTAACATTATGTCCTATGCACAGTAGACGTGGTAATCTAACAATCATCGGCACCGTCCCCTTGATAGTCGGACTTGAGAATTAGATAGTAGCTCTGAAAAAGAGCAATATCTCCTCCATACATCATCCTTCTATCCTGCCATCCATACTCAACAATCTAAAACCCATACCATCTGCACAGAACAACCACTCCGATTTTCCCAGCTACTAGATAGTATGTCAAACTAAGCTCCAACATCTCCCTAGCCGCAGCATTTAGTCACGGATGTGGCGTCGTTCCTGATCCTACGTATATCATCAGTCAGTCACTCAACAATAACACCAACAGAAGATAAACGAAACGAACTCACTCATCACCAACCACCTTCCCGGACGAAAAGAGCAGAAACCCCACGAACGCCCCAACAAAGATACAAACGATAATGTACCCATTGTAGTACATCCCCAGAAGCATCACGAAATAAGCCACTGCAAACTGCAACACATGCAAGGTGGCCCGGATGATCCGCTCACCCTGGCTGGGCCGGAAGATGAATTGGGTCTGGTCCTGTTTTGTAGCTGAGGCTGGCGCAGCCGGCGTTGGCTCAGACGCCCGTGGTGCCTCTGGAACTGGAGGCAGAGCTGAAAGTGAACCTGATGGTGTCCATGGCGTTGGTTTTCTGGCAGCAAATGTGTCGTCTATGGAAGTGACGCCGGGTCGACCGTCCCCGGTATCGGCTTTAAGCCTGGCGCGGTTGATGATGAACGCGTCGTATTCGCTGGCCATGCGACGGAGGAGTTCGAGACAAATGACGAGAAAGACGATGCCGATGCAGGAACCGGCGAACATGCATGATGATGTGATGTGCCAGGATTCAGAGATGAAGCCTGTTGAGTGTTGTTAGTGCTTAGGTAGGTGGTTTGATGTTTGGTGGTGTTGGACTGGACTTACATGCATCCACGGTGTTCCAGTTCCAGAGCATCTGGACATGGTTAGTAGATAGCCTCGGGTTTGGTATGAGGTGATGGAGGTTGTACCGAGATCTTGCAGCTGGGTGAGTCCATGCTGATGTCAATGGTTGATGAAGTCATATCCATGCTGTCTATGTATGTCTATGGCGTTCGAGTGCTATCGAGTGAGGATACTAGATGACAGGAAGGTAAGGACGATTGTTGACAACGATAAGTAGCCTGGTGAAGAAGAGAAGAACAGTAGTGAGGAAGAGAAAGCAAAATTAGAGACTAATATTTTGACCATTTGATACGTGACATTCAGGACCGTGTTTTTGTATACAAATCCATATTCCTCACGTTATTTTTCATACGAATCGGTAAGAACGCGCCCTCTACAGCAAAGAGTCCCTGCCGCGTCATGGGGAAGACGGTCTTTGCGAGGATTTGAGCACATTAGTCAGGTAGCTCCTCGACCAATGGGCCCAGAAAATGTAGTGAATAAGACATACTACAGTAGGCATATGGATTAGCAACCGAGTCTGTATTCGCTGGAATAGTCAAATATCACACTGAAACGATCCATCCCGCCGCGCCCAACACCTCCCATGGCAATCACTGGGTATAAACAGAACTCGCCCTATCGCGCTGCCCTGTACAAGATCCCAGATAGCAGATATAAAGAAACAGAATCCAAATCCAAGTCATCACCGGCGTGCCGACTTCTTAATCACGCCTTCCAAGATCTCCCGAATCTGCTTGCACCCGTCAATTCCCACCGCCAGCATTGTTTCAACGTATGTGCAATGCACCTTGGAGTCCATCGTCAGCATTGCTACCTTCATCTCGTCCTCATCTTCATTAATCATAGCCGCCTCGCCCACCGGTACAGCCGTCGTAGTCCCCACCGTAAGGAACGGAAGCTCCTGCTCCTCTGGCAGAGACAAGTCCAGCAGCGGATCCAATGTGTCATTATTCGGGTCCCGCGGTGTGGACGCACTGCCGCTCATTCCTGACGTACACCCACAGAGGAGTCCTGGCATAGGAATACCGGCATCCACAAGCGCCAGCGTACAGGCATTGACTGCCGCCGCGAGAAGCGATCCGTCTGACGACAAAACTGAGACGTGGATGCTGATCGTACTGTGAGGGTAGAGGTGGGTATGGAGATGCGACTGGAAAGCAGAGCGTAGTATCGTTGCGACGCGCGAAGATTGTCTATTCAAGGTTATAGTCAGTACCAGACACAGCAGAAACATCAGACATGACGATAGTCTAGAGCAACGTACTTATCACTTCCGCCGGCTCTGCGCTTGCGATCCACCCCAGCAAATCCTGCAACGTTGACATCCACCTCTACTACCGCACCTGCTGATCCAGCAGCACCACCCGTGGCATCACCGCGACGTCCTTCTGCGGGACCGTGGACGGAGCACAGGATCGCGGTGTTGCCCATGGCCAAGTAGGATGAGCCCGAACTGGCGGGGTTCGTGGAGATCTGGGCCTGGAGCAGTCGAAGCTCATTCCAGCGACGGCCATCAAGGCGAAGCTTGGTGAGGGGATATGTTGTGGATGTGTCGAGAGGCATTGTGATCTGGGAGGTGCTTCAATCGGTATGCCGAAATTAAGATGGAGGAAGTTTTGGCGTGGTTCCCCGCACCATGCGCTGTCAAATTTTGTCGAAGAGTTATTAAAGCCGTATCGGAGAGTTTAATTCGAGTACAGGCACGAAGCGACACAGTATGCAGGCTCAGATTATAGTCGACGGCGAGCAATGGGCGGAGAAGAGGGGAATTGGTTGCGGAGTTTGACTTTTCGGCGCGGAATTCTTCAGTCAGCTGCTTGCCCAATCGGGAAGCCCGTTTGACTCCATCGCGTCTCCGCATCTCCATCTCTCTTACACTTGCTTCTGCCTTCCCCTCAAAGGTCGGTCCAGATAGCTTCTGCCAGAGCTCAGCCGGACATGGGCTCACACGTGGAGATCGAGGATACTGACGCGACTACGGTCGGATCGGATGACGATGATCTCGATGGGGCACGCCCGTTGGTCTTACAGCCTACTTCGCTTCCTGTCGCTGGTTTGTCCCCGCACCTTATCTATACCTCAATATCAAGACATATCTGACTTTTCGATGATCGTAGATAGAGACCATGTCCCAAAGTCTGAAGTTACGACTCCACGTCGGCCAACAACTACCCCAACTACGATCAAGCAATCCTCTTCGCCACTCGACAAGAAGAGCCACACAGTAGTGGAGGTGCTCGACACCGACAGCGGAGATGACTCCTTCAATGAGGGCGAGGCCGCTTACAAGGAGTTCAAGAACAGAAAGGCCACGAAACGGAAACGGAGCACCGCAAACTTAAGAAACCGAGCTACTAAGGTGACGAGAGTCGCAACCTCGAACTCCATCGTCGGCCGAATCCCAACTTCCGATGGGAAAGCCCGACCGAGACGGCCATTACGGGTATATGGAGAGGAAGTGTCATCGGAGGATGAGCTGATGGAACACACCTTACCTGATTATCTCCAGAAACGGCAATCGCAGTTTGACCGGAGGACAGAGTATCTAAAACAATCTGGGCTGAAGTTGCCGCCAAGCTACGACGATGTTGAGTTCTCCGACGATGAGAGGTTGGAATCTTTGGCTGAAAAGCCCGCTTTCGAGAATATGACGCCATGCAATCAGTACAAAGACATCACCCTTCCTTATTCGCTGGGGCTTATACCAGCCCCGATCGCACAGTGGTTGCGCCAGTACCAGGTCGATGGAGCTGCTTTCCTGCATGAGCTGTTTGTTTACCAGAAGGGTGGGATCCTTGGAGATGACATGGGTCTGGGAAAGACCGTGCAAGTCATTGCATTTCTCACAGCGGCGTATGGGAAGACAGGCGATGAGAGAGACGCAAAGCGAATGAGAAAGATGCGGAGAAGTGGACACGATCAGTGGTATCCCCGAACGTTGATCGTCTGCCCAGGAACCCTTCTTAAGAATTGGATGGCCGAGCTTGCGCGTTGGGGCTGGTGGCATTTCGATACATACCATGGTGAAAACAAGGAGCTTGCACTCCAAGCTGCGCGGTCTGGAAGACTGGAAATCTTGATAACCACTTACAGTACTTATCTTCACAACAAGGATGCCATCAACATGGTCGATTGGGACTGTGTGATAGCAGACGAATGCCATATTATCAAGGAGCGCAAGTCAGAAACGACTAAAGCGATGAACATGATCAACGCTCTTTGCCGAATCGGCTTGACCGGAACCGCCATTCAGAACAAATACGAGGAGCTTTGGACACTCCTCAACTGGACGAACCCAGGGAAGCTTGGCCCGGTAACTGTCTGGAAGAAGACCATTTCTGAACCTCTGAAGATTGGCCAGTCACACGACGCCACCGTCCATCAGCTGCGCAGAGCACGAACGACGGCGAAGAAGTTGGTGGAGAACCTCTTGCCGCAGTTCTTTCTCCGCCGGATGAAGACCCTGATTGCAGACCAGCTTCCCAAGAAGGTTGATCGCGTCGTCTTCTGCCCGCTCACTGATACCCAGGCCGACGCCTACGTGAACATTCTGGGAAGCGACATGGCCAGCTATATCAAACACTCTACCGACCCTTGTGACTGCGGTTCCCGACAGAAAGCTGGCTGGTGCTGTCGCCAGTTTCTACCATCTGGGGTCACCTGGCGAAGCTACGTCTTTCCCGCGATAGCAGTGCTGCAGAAGCTCAGCAACCACCTGGCAATTCTCATCCCGCAGGGAGTCGATTCTAACGAGAAACAAGAAAAGGACAAAGAGATGCTGGAGCTGGCTGTGCCCGAGCAATGGGAAAAGCTTTACCGTTCCCGGGACTCAATCGTCAACTACGCGAACCCTGAATTCTGCGGTAAATGGAAGGTTCTTCGTCGACTGCTGAAGTGGTGGCACGCCAATGGCGACAAGGTACTCGTTTTCAGCCACAGCGTGCGCCTCCTCAAAATGCTCCAGATGCTCTTTCACTACACCAGCTATAACGTCAGTTACCTCGATGGGTCGATGAGCTACGAGGAGCGTACTAAAGTCGTTGATGATTTTAATTCCAATCCACGCCAATTCGTCTTCCTCATCTCTACTCGCTCTGGTGGCGTCGGACTCAACATAACTTCCGCCAACAAGGTCGTCATCGTCGATCCCAACTGGAACCCCTCGCACGACCTTCAAGCGCAAGATCGCGCCTACCGTATCGGCCAGTCTCGCGATGTTGAAGTCTTCCGGCTCATCTCCGCCGGCACCATCGAGGAGATCGTCTACGCCCGGCAGATCTACAAACAACAACAAGCCAACATTGGCTACAACGCAAGCTCGGAACGACGCTACTTCAAGGGTGTTCAAGAGAAGAAAGACCAAAAGGGCGAGCTCTTCGGTCTGGACAATCTATTCGAATACAAGAACCAGAACATCCTTCTCCGCGACATCGTCAACAAAACCAACGTCGCTGAAAGCAAAGCTGGCGTGCAGGTTATGGACATCGACGTAGACTACGACCCCAATGTCTCCGACCAAACCTTCACGGGCAAATCCGACGACACCAACGAAGTCATGAGCCAGTTAGCAGCCATGATTCGCGGCGAGGACGACGAAGAACCCACCCACCCCCAAACCCCCATCAACACCAAGCATGACCCCATCCAAGCCATCCTCGCCGGCGCAGGGGTCGAATACACCCACCTCAACAACGAAGTCATCGGGTCATCCAAAGTCGAGGAGCGGCTCAGCCGTCGCGCCGAACTGGCTGACGAGAATAACAAGAACCTAGACATGCAAGTCTTTGCAGGATCCCAGTCCCAGTCCCAGTCCCAGTCTCATAAAAAGTCATCATCATCTTCAACCAAGCAACCAATCAAATACAAGTTTCATCCGCCAAAGCGTGTCATGAAACGACAATTTTGCAGCATGGCGAAACGTTACGGCTTCCCAAACGCAACCGAATTCGCTCTTGTCGTGGAGGGGATGACGCAGGCGCAGCGACGCGCATGCTTGGAGCGTTGGTATGCTGAGCGACGGGAAAAGCTTTCTCAACCGTCTTGATCCTATCATATATCATATACCATTTTATCCTCCTATATCTCTTTTTGGAGCATTGGTTACAAGTTCATTAGGGAGTTACGGGTTCTAGATTTGTTTTTGTCTGTTTTACGGTACTATATACCCATGTTGACTAGCTAGTTTTTTACTTAACCCAGCGACGAGTGACGATTGATACCAAATAAAGCACTAGTGATACCAGTGAACATTTACCGACCTGTATCGAGCCCTTTCCTCCGCGCCTCGTCAGTTCTCTTCCAATCAACCATTCCCCTACGCACGTAGTTGATACGCCTATACTCCAAAACGAAACACGATCTACTAACTTAATGATACTGGTATTATCAATACGATACCCTAGCCCAGGAAGAGAAGACTTTCCCCAAAGAGTTGGATACAATAGAAGTAGACATACATACTACGTCACTCACCTTCAAAGCCGGCCTTTATTTGCCTCATATAACCCATGTATTTATTCATCTGGCTGGCATGCTAGCTTTGTGCTCCGATTCAGGTTTCTTTTCTTTCTCTTGCGTCTTGGGTATGGTTACGATTAAGCAGACTGGTATGAGGGGGAATGGGAGTTCTGAGAGCTAGCTAGGTATCATGTGTTGTGAGGCATTGCGGACTTCTAGCTGAAGCATGCAAGGGTAAACTGGGAATACAGCTAGAGCTACATCAAGTCAAAATTATGCATTATCCGCAACCATAGTCTATATTAATGCTAAAGAATCAGTCACCTATACGCTAGCTGTATCAATGCCCATCCACGTCATGGTATCCCAGATGATGATATGTATCCACATATAGCAAGCAAGAATTGCCCATCACCCGTGCTCCGGTCCGTCTTCAGGCCTTCTCCTGTCCGTCTTTTTTCAACTTTTGTCGCATTGTCTCTGCATATTAAATCAATCGGGTATCCAGTATAATGATCTGATGGAAATGGTGGGGTATGTTGAGTTATGTGTTGAATGTTGTGGTTGGCCGGACTCTTTCCCTTGTTTCTCGCGTTGGAATCATCGAGCAGGTCAATTAAGTTGATCTGAATGACGGCTCGACCTACCATTTCCTTGCTTTTCGGTTCTTTGAAGTTTCATGGTTTTCGCTCTTCTAAGTTGTGCCCCACTAATAGGTCACTTGCCCTCCGGATATCCAGTTTGGTCAACGACATGCCGTCAGCAACTGGAGCCATCCAGTGAGTCAGTTACACCTATTTCTCCTTGGCATCAACGTAGGCATCGACATCTGATGTCCGCGAGTCCTTGCGTTCGACGGCTTCTTCTGCTTCTTTCTTAGGCTCGCTCTGAGCGGGGTCAGCGCCGTTGGCTGGATCGGCTGTCGCAGCAGACTCCTTACCCTTGTGTGCGGGAATCTGGAACTGGGTGGGCTCTGTCTGACCTTCGAGAATCGGGGCAATGGCCAGAATCTGTTTCGCTGCCACCTCAGGGTTATGCGAGTCGCTGGAGGTTGTTAGCCCCGTCAAACTGTCGGTGCAAACGCAGCAACTTACACATGTGCATTGATAATCCAGTCTAGGTCCTCCTCTCCCTCATCTGGGCCGTGGGGCCCGCCCTGCACCCGTCGGAACAGCCGGGGGTGCCACTCAACGCCATCATCGACACGCTTCGCTGCCTCTTCTCGTTGGCGGTCCTCGATCTTGGTCTTCTCGTCCGTAGCCGCCTCGTGGTTCCTGGCAATGATAGCCTTCACGGTGTTTTGCCACAGTCGCTGCGACTCGCGCTCGCCCTGCTGTTCAATAGGTCTGGTCAACGGAGGGGTATGCTTCGCATGCGTAGCGTTGAATAGCAAATCCTTCTTGTGTGTCTGTTCAGGTTAGATTGCCGGTCCTTCGCGAAAGGAAGGAGAACTCACGTGAACGTCCTTGATGTGCATCTCGCCGTTCCAGAGACCGGACAGTTCATAGTATACCTCACCGGTCTTTTCGTTCTTGATTGTGCCACCGATAGCGTTATAAGTACCAGAAAAGTAGCCCTTTGTCTTGAATTCGATGTCGGCAACGAGGTTGTTCTCTGGGCACCGCACGTAGCTGTGGTCGCCAAGTTCGTATTTCATCTTTCCGAAAAGAATACCGCGGGCGTACATATTCGGTTGCGTCAAGATGCTAGGCCCGGTTAGAGTTGTCCTCATGCGCAGACGACAGGCCCACCTACTATCTTTCGCCCTTCTCCTTGTCCTGTCCGCGGTTCAAGAACCGCAGGATAGCAATGCCCTCCATCATACTAGCGGCTGAGTTTCCGAGGAATTTACTGCGGGGTTTCAAGGTGCCATCTATCCGAATGTTGTGCTCGGGTGCCATGAAGAAATAGCTCGATTTGGGCGGGTGGTGGGAGGTCTGCTCGGCGATATAGTACCCACGGGTGCCATCAGGGTAGTCCCAGTAACAGGTATAAGTCTCTCCGAGGATAGGGTTCAACGGCTTCTTCACTCCTCTGGGCAAGGTGTCAGCAAGGCTGGAGCTAGCGGAAGTACAGCATTTCAAGGGATGCGGCAACGTACGGAGGTTTGATGTGCCATCCGCTCAGATAGAACTTGACGACGGAAACGAATCGTTCTAAGGGGTCATCTATGGTGGGCATAGGAAGCAAAGTTTCCGGGTGCGCCATGAAGCTGGAGACAGGAAATCGGTTAGCTACTTCTTTTTATTTTGCGACGCAGGTACTCCGACATACTTGGTGATGCGCTCCAGCATAGATCGCGGTTCCAGAATAAAGGTGGGCAGGACGACCCGACTCAGATCAGCTCCCGGTCGGAGCTGAGAGATAATGTGGGAAAGGACTACAGATAAGTCAGCGGAAATGGAAAGGTCCGTATTTGCAGTGGTATAGGGTCCGGATCGATTTATTTTCCATTGTTGCTTTTGGGGATATTGAGGGGTCAGCTACGTACCATTTCCCTGGTCGGGCTCGACGATCTCGTCGTCCCCGCTCACGGGCTCAGCTTTGGGCTCATCGTGTGATGAACGATTACCTGAAACATGAAAAAAAGAGCCCCAGTCAGCAGACATGATGGTGGCAGCAAAAATGCGCGAGATGGGAGGGAGGTGGTGAAAAGACAGCCGGTCGGAGGAGAGAGCCAAGGAGGGGAAGAGAGAAAAGGGCGGAGAGATGTTGAGGCAGCCAGCAGCAGAAGGACTGAGGCAGCCAGCAGGAATGACGTGGGAGGAGCAGCAGCACAGAAAGAGGGGAGGTTCTCGACCGGATGACGGCAGCAAACTTCACTCACTGGTAAGCGATGACCGTCGGCGGATGTGCGGGACGGAGATGGGCATGGCGTTCCGTGGTTCTGTGTGCTTATTGATCTAGCAATTCTTTCTGGTGGTGGTTGGTCTTGTACTTCTGGTTTTTTTGCTGGTGTGAGGGTACACGGAGGGTTGTGGAGGAGACACCGACGCAACCGGACTGCAGCGCACAAAGGTGACTCGATTCTCGAGGGGTTTGGGCAGAAATTGAATTGTGGTGTCACTTGGGGTCTTTGAAGGATCTGCTCCTCTTTTTTCTCGAAATTAATCGAACTGAATTAGAGCAATGGAGGTAGATAGAAGGCAGCAGAGACAGTCAACAGAACTCCAAAGAAGGCCTTCAATGTCGGGATGTACGGACAGCGTCGGGTTCAGTTCCTGAAACCAACAACCTATTCTGCAGAAAATGAGAAAAGCAGTAGTGCCGGGAGTTCTATCTATTAATAAATACTACTCCAGGGGACACAAGAGACGGTGAGTCTGAGGGATTCTGGATGGATGATTGCTACTGAAACTGGAGCTGGATGACGTTGATGGGGGACTGCCTTGATTCGGATTTCTATGATGGCTCTTCTTTACACTGTGGCACTTCTCTCGCCTCAGCTTTATACTCTTGTTGGTGACACGGCATCTTCCAGAAGGCTTATCTGTATATGATATCTTTTCCCTCGTCGGTTCTCATGCTACAGACCGCAGTTTTTCACTCCGATCGCCGTTAATTTTTCAGCTGGACTCGCGATCAAGAGGGGCACACAGGCTTGGCGGTGGGGATGACGGATGACAGCCCATCGCTTCAATTCATGTTTCAAGCATCAAGCAATGCCGATGATCGCTCCCTTGGCCTCTATAATGGGTTGGTATTATTTCTTTAGATCCCAGTCCCAGGGCCCCATCTCATCTATCTCTATGCCGGATTAACCCTTAACCCTTCACCATTAATCCATCCATCTATCTACTCATGCCGACTGTCGTTTCAGCGGAGCATCCCCTCCTGTGATCTCCCGTAGGAATTCCGCTTCGGGATGGTGCAGCATGACATGGAAATGCTCCACGGCATGCACTGACTTTAATGACTTCCAGTTCTTGAACCAGATGACCTACCTTCGTATTAGCATCAAGAAAAAGCATCGCCCATCACCACCCCCGGCGCATTCCTTCCAACATTCTAGCCAATACATACCTGATCGGCTGGCATCCGTGAGAGAAATGTCCGTTGCACATACTCCTCGATCTCCTGTCGTGCGCGTGGCGTTAGGTCATCCGTGACCGGATCATCCTCCAGCTCGAACTTTGTCCACACCACCAAGTGAACAATGCCTTCCTCGACTCCATACGGCCAGTCATTGTAAAGAATGCGGATATCCTCTGACCATCACAACCATGCTTAGCACTCATCCCATCTCGACACAGGCAGTTCAAGACTCATTTGAACAGTGAGAAAGAGACAATTGAATACGAACCATCATACTCAAACGGCCGCCCCTTGGGCTTCAGATCATCCGGCGTCCCTTCTCCCCAGCGAAGCCGTTCCTTCACCACAAACCGCATGATCGATCCATACTCCGCGATAATCTGCTCCTTGTACTCGAGATACCTCCTCAAATCGCTGGGAAGGCGCTGAAACCGATCGATCTGGTTGGACCCTGTCCATCATGTATTAGCGGACCACTCACGGACCACGTCCTCCCCCTGACGCACGGCTTCATTCGGTCGAACATACGGACTATCTCCTTTACTAGCTCCCACCCCTGTCTCCGGTATTGCTCGTCAGGGGTCGAAAGCACCTCGATATTTTTCTGCGATGTGTCGCGTAGATAGCTGGGACATTCTGCTGTCCATTGTGAGCGGGGAACGTTGACAAGCCAGTACGGTAGAGGTTTTGGAGGAAGATTGGTTGCAGGGCTGTGGATTTTGGTTGAGACTTTCACATCCGGAGACCTAAGTCCCTCGTGAAAGGTAGTATAGGTTGCGGCAGACGACATGGCGATGATCTGACTCAATCGATAGACGGGGAGGTGTTGGAGCGAAGTAAAAGAGACCACGGCCGAGTCTATAAAGCGAACAGCATCTAATGTATAAGGCAGGCAGCAGGTAAGACAAACGAACCGGTGAAAAGAAAGAAGAGAAGCAAGAACAGAAAAGCACCGACCGAATAGAGCTGTAAGAGCTGATATAAACGGTGACCGGTTCCGGATGCGGTGGCGATGAGTTATTGATTATTGAAAGTATGGGGATGCCGCGACGCCCCGCTGCCCATTTCAGAAGGGATTGACGGTAATGTTATTAAGGAGAGGGGAATAACTAATCAAATCGAACGCGATGGATTATAAGCCCAACGCGAATATCGTCAGATTTTCCCTACACTCAAAGTATCTCCGTTTCTCATTCTCTGTTGTTCTGAGCTGACGGTGATCTGGAAGCCGTTGCAACGTCCGCCAACTCCACTGTGGAGACCTGTCAGATTGTCTGCCAGGGTTAGACTTGTCGCTATCCACGGTCCTTTCTTTGTTTGGCGGTGCAAGTGGCCTTGCCTGCTCCCTTATTGTTATGGCTAGGCTAGCAAATTGTTATATATTTGGCATTATAGGCCATGTGGTCTAGATCCACTAAATCCTACTTATAGAGTACTTGGCGCATCTTGGTCTGTCTTATCTATAGCTCAGTCCCCGACCATAACGCTCAGTCTAAGACGGTATACACCTGCACAAAGCACCACATACACACATACAGTAATCAAGTCAAGTATTCCATACATCTTGCAATGACCATCACATCCCATATCCCATATACGCATAAGAATCTACTAACAACCACTACAACTCCCCAACCAACCCTCTAATCTCAGGCCCATCCGACCTCACAACCACCACCCCCGCCTCCCTCAACTCCCTCTTCGCCTCCTCCCACCCCTCCCCTGGATCAACACACCTGACCGCATCCTCAACAAAATAACTCCTCAACCCAGCCCGTGCAGCATCAATCGCCGTAAACTTCACACAATAATCCCCGGCGACACCCACACAAAACACATCCGTAATGCCATTTTCCTCCAAAGCCCCCTTCAAATGTACATCCACCGACGACCGATTCACCTCCGCATCGAGGTTCCCAAAAGCATCTGCAAACGCAGAGTACATCTCCACGCGCGCATCCATGCCCTTTCGCACGTAGAGGTCAATGTTCTTGGTGTCGATTTCCGGGATAATCTCTGCGCCTTTGGTTCCCTCTACGCAGTGGACGGGCCAGAGCCGTTGAGGCTTGGTCTCAGTTTCTTTGCCTGCTGCAGGATTTCTCATGTCGATGAAGTGCTCGAAGGGTAGGTTGTTGGGCGGTGGGTGGTTCGGGGCGAAGGAGATGTGGTTGGGTGGGTGGCTGTCTTGGGATGCGATGCGGAGGGCGAAGCCGGGGTTGGAAAGAAGGGTATTGATTGTTGGGGCGAGGGCGCGGGCTTCTTGCACGGCGAGAGAGCCGTTCTGGTTGGTTTTGTTAGTATAGAGTTGGTCGATGGTTGGGGGTTGGGGAGAGTACGGACCGGAGGGCAGAAGTCCTCCTGCATGTCGACGATTATCAAGGCTGCCTTCATCTTGGATAGTGGCTGTTGTTTGATTTCAACGTTATTTAGTATCGTGATCTTTGTCAGAGCCAAGCTCCGTTACGGTGGCTAGACCAGTCTGGTCTGATATGTATGCAGATAAGTAGGTAGTGTCGCTTTGGGAGAAGCGAGAACTGTAGGCAGCTATCATCGTATCATACGGCCGGACTAGTTCTTAGACCCCGCTCGATGGTACGAAGTAGTCTCATCTGGCAATCATGGCGTCAATAGGAAACGCATGTTGATACTCATCTCAGGCAGCTGAGTTAGTCTCAGAAAGCGGATAGAAATTACTCCAGCACTTAAAGCCAAGATCGACTCTCGCGCATGAGATCATGCCCAGCCTCCATCGCCATCCACAGCTCGAGCTGTCCCAATCGGGCGTAGTGGGCAGCACGCGGCTGAGTCAGCGCACATGACCACAAAAGGCGCGCGAAATCCGCCGACGCAAACTTCTTCATCTTGTCAACTCAGGGCTGCGGCCCTTCATCAACTCGTCCACCCCACACCCAGTAGACCAGCGTAAATGAATTGCAGATGATGCGAGGCTCTTCTAAGGTATGTATATGCAAAACATCTATCTAGTCCACTCCAACCCTCCCCCGCAGCATGATGAAATCTTTATATATTGGAGCTGTCTTAGCACATTATGCGGACAAACTTTAATTACTTACGCAACTATTTACTGAATTCTGCACCCCTTTCACTATACTTCTTTGTCACTGCCATTGAGTCTACGATTTTTTTTTGCCGCAGATTCTAATTGTCAGTAGTCATTACAGGGCCCTACTAGTGAACAACACACCTTCCAGCCTCCTTGATACCCCAACGATCACTTAACCGAATTCATCACACCACCTAACCTACGGTACGGTCACACCAAACGCGGTTATAACAAACACCATGGCCTACGACCCCCGACTGTCCAGTGCAGGCACTGCGACCGCTCCCTCCCCTCCACCACCACCCCCACCACCCCCAGAAGCCATGGGATCAACAACTCAACCTCAACCCACCACGACGAACGAGGACAAAAACACAGTGCCAGAATCGGAGTCCTCATCATCCTCATCATATAAACTCCGATTCTGCACCGTGTGCGCCTCCAATCAGAACCGCTCTATGGAAGCCCACCTCCGTCTCTCCACAGCGACGAGTCCCTTCCCTGTAATTTCCTTCGGGACGGGCTCTCTAGTCCGGTTGCCCGGGCCCTCAATCACCCAACCCAACGTCTACAACTTCAACACAACCTCGTACTCTCAAATGTACGACGAGCTGCTCTCCAAAGACGAGCGTCTCTACCGCAACAACGGCCTCCTGAACATGCTCGAGCGCAACCGTAACTTGAAATGGGGCCCGGAGCGCTTCCAGGACTGGGTACCGGGACAGCCGCGCGTCGAGCACGTCTCGAAGGGCGATAAGGGCGCCCTAGGTACTGAAGGCGGCGTTGTCGATGTAATCATCACCTGTGAAGAACGGTGCTGGGATGCCGTGGTAGACGATCTTATGAATAAGGGCTCACCCTTGAACCGGCCCGTGCATGTCTTCAACGTGGATATCAAGGATAATCACGAAGAGGCATTAGTAGGAGGCAAGGCTATCTTGGATCTAGCGAATCGGTTAAACGAGGCTGCCTCGCAGGAGAGAAAGACGAATGGTGCCGATGGATGGGAGAACGGAGTCGGTGAGGCGAGACGGAATTTCGATGCTCGCGTGCCTGATATCCTGGCTGAGTGGCAGGAGAGATGGCCTCATTTGCCGGCTTTGTGGACACTGGCTTGGCTATAGTCCAGCCTAAGCTTAAGCATAAAGCACTACGTATGCATTCGGCGTCGGCTTTGAATGATTCTAGATCTCTTAGATCTATATCAGATGCAAATAATGTTTCATTCTTAAGTAATGGAATACTATCAATTACTTTCAACTAGTATCTGTCCTCTCATGTATCTTAATCCTGCACCTCGTAGCCTACCTATCTCAATTAGATAATAACCTGCAATACATTGTGAAAGACTCCGATATGAAGGAAGAACATTATTCTCTTCTTTTCTGGTCCGGGAAAGGGTACCTTAAATCTCTCTACATGCTGAGGGTCCAAATAAAGCTAGCTAGCTAGCTATACAACAATACCGACGATATGTCCTGATGTTTCCTTTTTTCATCTTCTCTAAAGACACTTCTAGCACCTGTAACATACAAGACACATGGATATCATCACACCACCACCTCCTCCTCCTTCTCCTCCTTCTCCCCTCTAATACAGGTGTATACTTTCTATAAGTAGCACACAACCAAAGCCCACCATCCACAAAGAAGAAACGTATAAACAACGCAATTAGATGAATTTTAGACAAGGTAGAAAAACGCCATCATCCAGCCCGATAGATTCCAATCCACCAACTCCAAAGACATATTCAAATGCGAGACAGACACAACAATAAATAAAAAAAAGTGTGTGTACGTGGGCATAAAGAGGAAGTGGTATTTTAAAACAGCTCCCCCCGCTGCCCAGCACCTCTCTCCAAATCCCTCCGTCGACTCGACTTCCCTAAACTACCACCACCAGATCGTTCCTCGCGCTCCTCCTCCATCATGGCTGTCTCTTCTTCGATTTCCTTCTCCGTGTCTTCGCGAAGACCGAGAATATCCGGAGGAATGAAGCTCATTTGCACGCTCGGGGCACCTTGGATGTATCGAAGCTGTTCGCGGATGGACTGGAGCAAGCCGGCGAGATAAGTGCGAGGGTTCTTGTTTTCGAGCTTGCGCATTTCCGAGAGGGGCGGAAAGAGAGAGAAGTCAGGGCCGAAGTGGTTGCGGAAGGTGACGGTTTCGGGGATGTGAGGGTCGATGGTATCCTGGGCGTCGATGAGGATGGAGGTTTCGTGAGCCCAGGCGCGGGAGACGTTGCGTGGGGTGTAGCCACCGCCACCGACGACGAGGAGAGGGAGGTTAAAAGTTTTGACGAAGGCGACGCAGGCGCCGTGGGCGGCGACGTTCAGGTTGAAGCAGCCGAGACGGTCGCAGCCGAGGGAGTCGGCACCGCATTGGAGGACGATGGCGCCCGGTCGGTAGACTTCGACGCAGGAGCCGACGACGTCGCGGAAGAGTTGGATGTAGGATTCGTCGTCGATGCCGTCGTGGAGGGGGACGTTGACGGAGTGGTGGGCGCCCGGGTTGAGGGGATGGGTGGGCCCCGTGCTGTCGAGGCCACCGGTGCCGGGGAAGAAGTTGTCCTTGTCGTATTTGTGGAAGGAGACGGTGAGGACGCGGTCGGTGGACCAGAAGGCTTGTTCCACGCCGTCGCCGTGGTGGACGTCGATGTCGATGTACATGACGCGCGGGTGCAGGCGGAGGAGCTGCAGGATGCCGAGGACGATGTCGTTGATGTAGCAGAAACCGCTGGCTTCGGCTTTTTTGGCGTGATGTAGGCCACCAGACCAGTTGACTGCGATCTCCGACTGGTTGTTGCAGAGCTTTCGGGCTGCGTCGATGGTACCGCCGGCGTAGAGGGAGCAGTAGTTGTAGAGGCCGTCGAAGATGGGGCAATCGTCACCGAAGTTGAAGCGCGCGATGTTCTCGCTCTGTTCAGGATTCTCCATATCGCCGGGGACGACTTGCTGTAGGAAATCGAGGTAATCTGATTTGTGGAAGTCCGCCAGCTCTTCGTAGGTGGCTGCGCGCGCCAGGTAGAGGTCCATCGCATGGTGCATGCCGTAGGCCATGACCAGCTGTTTTGTGAGGGTCAGACGCCATGGCTTCATGGGATGGGACTGGCCAAAGTGGTGTGGTTCGACGGCGGGATTGGCATGCCAGGAGACGCGATATCCATTGGGGCGAGAAATGCCATTTTGTTGGCGCTCGTGGGTGACTTTGCGGTCGACGGAGAAGGTGGGTGCGGAGGACGGAGGGGCGTATTCTTGGACAATGGCGGAGCGGGCCATGAGGAACGATATCGGAGGGCTGTGGGAGGAAATGTAGTCGAGGAGGTCCGATCGGATACGAAGAAGAGGCGCTTCACAGTTCAGATCATGCTTGCATGCGCGGAGAGTGGATGTGGAGGCGAAATGGACGTGGCGGGGAGAAGAAGAGCCGAAGAGAAACGGAGGTGCAGTTGGAGTTCGAGTTCGCGGCAGAAAAAGCCGACGATCACCTGCGCTGGTTGGCCGCGGATTAGGATTTCTGCAGCCCGCGATATAAGCTCAGCACACGGACTACGGGGGATATAATGTAGTATCAGGGGCTCGGAAGAATACTTTCAGCTATCTAAAAGAACAGCACCAATGGTGATAAAAATTCTCATACTATGGGAATAGACGATTCAACGATCTGCAGCAACTTGACAGGATTCGGCTACTACCGAGTCATGCTCAAATGCCGAACCATCCCCGAGTGATTACCTAACCTCTGCCGATGTCGGGTGGGCTCCCATGGGCTTCACCTTTAAATTCTCCTTCAATCGCAGACTCGGAGGCAAAAGAAGGCGTCTAGATCACAGATAGAATACTCCGTGCAGAGACTGTGGAAGGCGATAACGGTCAGCCCACGCGATCTCAAGTCTATAAAGCCAGCAGCACCATCCTCCTCGCCAGCAACAAGTCTCGACGTCATCGGCGCAGCCTTTACAACTCCTATAGAACGGTGCCATTTCTTGACCAACATTTCCCTCTACAAAGCCTGCATCATGCCTATGGTAACTGCAGCTACCTCCCTTCGCCGGGCTCTCGAGAACCCCGATTCCTTCATCGTCGCCCCCGGAGTCTACGATGGACTGTCAGCCCGTGTCGCCCTTTCCGCGGGCTTCGACGCTCTGTACATGGTAAGTGGCGAATGTCACTATGCTCGAATATTGGTCAACCAGCTCATCCCTCTTTACAGACCGGTGCCGGTACCGCTGCCTCGGTCCATGGTCAAGCAGACTTGGGCATCTGCACTCTCAACGACATGCGCGCCAACGCTGAAATGATCTCCAACATCTCCCCTAGCACTCCCGTAATTGCCGACGCAGACACCGGCTACGGCGGACCCATTATGGTCGCCCGCACGACCGAGCAATACTCGCGGTCCGGAGTTGCCGCCTTCCACATAGAAGACCAGGTACAAACGAAGCGCTGCGGACATCTCGCTGGCAAGATTCTCGTAGACACGGACACCTACGTGACGAGGATCCGGGCAGCAGTGCAGGCTCGCCAGCGGATTGGCAGTGATATTGTTGTGATCGCCCGGACAGATTCCCTCCAAACCCACGGCTATGAGGAGAGTGTCGCGAGACTGCGGGCCGCGCGCGACGCAGGCGCGGACGTAGGATTCCTCGAGGGGATTACGTCCAGGGAGATGGCCCGGCAAGTGATTCAGGACCTGGCGGGGTGGCCGTTGCTGCTGAACATGGTGGAGCATGGGGCCACGCCGTCGATCTCAGCAGCCGAGGCCAAGGAGATGGGCTTCCGCATCATCATCTTCCCGTTCGCGGCATTGGGACCTGCCGTTGCAGCGATGCGCGAGGCGATGGAGAAGCTGAAGAGGGACGGCATCCCTGGGTTGGACAAGGAGATGACACCACAGATGCTCTTCCGTGTGTGTGGATTGGACGAGAGTATGAAGGTGGATGCGCAGGCCGGGGGTGCTGCTTTTGACGGAGGGGTGGACCTGAAGTAGTTTTGACGGCATTGATTTGCTCAGTACATACCCTGGGGACCTGTTTGGGGTTTAGAACATAATTGTATAGATGTAAATATGTTTGACTTGATCTGATCCAGGCGAGCAGTAAGACATGGAGCCCATTCGTCTCGAGGTTATGGCGACAGAATGAGGATGTAGCTCACTCACTACTAAGAATTGTCGCAACAGAACGGTGCTGACTGAGCACCAAACAGGCAATTGTCTAATCCCAATTAGGGCCAACGATACGGGATCCGAAAGGAGGTGCTTAGTCACCCCGGATCATCGGGCCCCAAATTGAAGCTGACGAGTCGCTCTCCGCGACAGGAATAGTATCCGCTCCTCGTCTCGAACAGGGCAGCTGGTCTCTAAATTTAGAGGGGCCCCCAGGCCGAAAAGGAGATTCTCTACCCATCCAGGAAATGGTCGGCTGATGTTGAGGACCGAACGTGGCTTACTGTTGGAAAGTCAGCAACGCCTGCCAACCGAGAAGGGGGTTCCGTCGGCATCCATGGGACAGAGACCCAGGGAAACACTATTTATTTACATGTGAAGAAGTAGTATAGATATAGAGCGGCATAGGATAACGCTCTCACTTATGTGTACAAGAGCTAGACTAGTTGCCATTAAAATCCAAGACAACGTTCGATAGTCCAGCCAGTTTTTGGTGGCCAGAACCTGGCAAGTCGCACCCCCTCGGTGGATTAAGCGACTATCGTTACCCAGACTTGCTGGTCACGGGCCAACAACAGGCAATGACAGTTGGGGTGGACTCGGACACGGGCTGAAGATTACCGAATTGTCGCTGTGCTAAACTCTAGTGGCCCGCGGACCAGATGGTCCATGGGATGACCAGCGAATTCGATACATACAGCAACTCGATGGTTGGTGTTGGGTGTTTGAGGATGCTGACCATGACTGCGCAGGATGATTGGAATTCCGGTTGCCGCCGTCCCTGGATTTTGGGGGTCCTGATCAGGGTCCGCGGCAGGGTCAAATTGGGGTTAAGCCGTGGCATTCAGGGTCGCTTGGTGGGCAAAACAGCAGGACCCTTAGGGGTCCTGCAAGCCTTTTTTTACCTGAGGCTATACCAGCTATACCAAAATTACCGTAATGATTCAAGGTGGATGCAACGAGGGCAAAAGTCACTGCCCTTCCTTGCCTATCCACCCAAACGCAGGCTCCAGTCTTACGGTGTGTGTGTGTGCAATCTCACGGTCTGGCCTGCATTCTTTCTCCTCGACATATTATCCACTGTCAGTCCATCGGATCAAATCACTGTCCAACGTGGGTCTTGACGTGGCGATGGGCTGGCTCTCTCCTGGGTAACCGGCAGCCAGGCCGGGATTCGACCAAGCAACATTAATTGGAAGTTGAGTGACTTGTTCGTGTGTGAAATTGATCGAACAACAGGATAATGGTCCGAATGACGTATCAATAAGCAATGCGATTTACTCTGTCGGATTCTTGCGATCGGGCAGCATTCCAACTGGATTCCATGCATCTAATCAAACCCCGCCCTATCGTGTGAGGCGTCCACTGATCGATCGTTGGGCGAAGAGATCCACGGAATTCACTTCCTGTGGATTATTGACAGGCTTAGGTCCTCAGCATCACCGACAACTCAAGAGACGGTGTGGATGAGTTGGAGAGGGTACCTGAACACGATGCAGCACCCAGTGCAACCTGGATGCATCTGTAAGGTACCAGGCACCGTACGGTATTGGTACCACGGCAGGCGCGATCGGCGGGGCGGTTCCAGGGATTGCGAGTCTCGACCTACAAAGCATAAATCATCCCCCATTGACTGTCTCTGTTATTTGGTATACTTCTTGCTAGATGGGTATACTAACAGTCGGGCCTTATCCGAAGGTAGAATCTAAGTGGGTAATTATTGTGTTTACCGGGTCAATAAATCGAGTTCAAACCATGCTATATCGAGGTATCTATGCTGTACTCCGTATTTGCAGACGAAAGAAGGATTTGGGTTTAGACCCCAAGTGGGGTCCAACTCACCAATGACAAGCCAACCTGGAGCATCCGAACGGCAAGCTCAGGAACCGATGCTCGTCTACAACCAATCAATCGCCCCCAAAGCCAAGTGACTCCCCTGATCGACCCCCTTTTAATTTAATGAAATCCAATTACAGGTCCAACTTGATACGAAGAGGACCGTTTGATGCGGGAAAAGTGAAAAACCATGCAGAGTGAAAGGAAAGGATTGATGGTAACGAACTGAACGGTAAACTCCCCTTCTACGATCTGGGCCTGGCCTGGCCTTTCTGTTCCCCCCTCTGGCTTTTCTTATTATTATCTCCTCTTTCCCCCCCGGCTCTTCCCTTCTTCTTCTTCCTCTCCCTCCCTCTTTGCTCTGCAACTGCTTTGCTCTCCTTCTCGGGTACACATCTCACTCCTTTGTGTGTGTTTGTTTCAAGGCTGAGCGTCCCCTTGGTATTGCTCGCGTCATTCATTACTTCCCAATCTACTCACTCTCTTTCATCAATCGTGTACCCTGAAACGGTTGGTTTGTTCCAAGAAAACACCTGTGATACCCATTCAGTTCAATATCTATCAACACAAACATCATGCAGCTCAAGAACTCCATGCTCCTGCTGGCCGCTTTGACGGCTGGCTCCGCTACTGCTCGCCTGCACGGCCATGAACGCCGTCACCACCACAACGACAAGCGTGACGTCGGTGATGTCGTCGTTGCTACTATCGACGGTCAAAAGGTCTCCTGGATCAACGAGTGGTCCGGTGTCGCCGCCACCACCGTCTCTGAGGCTGCCACTACTCAGGTGTCTGTTGAAGCTGCCGCCACCCAGGTCTCCGTCGCCAGCTCCGTCATCGCCTCCGTCTCGGCGGTTCCTTCTGCTTCCAGCTCTTCCGGCGCAGCCACTGCTAGCGGATCCTGCTCAAGCTGGACCGACACCCTGTCGTCCGGCGATTACTCTCGCGCCGGCTTCGGCAAGTCCACGGTTAGCAAGCGCACCACCGACGCCATCTACTACACCGGCAATGTCGGCAGCCCTTGGGGTAGCAACATCATCGAGGTCGACGCCTCGAACGCCTGCCAGTACAAGCACGTTGTCCGCATCGACGGCAGTGAGACTGATGACTGGACCGTCGTCTTCTGGAACAAGATCGGACCCGATGGAGGTCTGAACGGCTGGTACGGCAACTCTGCTCTGACCCTGACCATCAAGCCCGGTACTTCCCGCTACGTCGCCTTCGACGATGACTCTCAGGGTGGCTGGGGTGCTGCCAAGGGTGACAAGCTCCCCACTGACCAGTACGGCGGTTACTCCTGCACCTGGGGTGAATTTGACTTCGGTAACACTAGCAACGAGGGCTGGTCCGGCTGGGATGTGTCTGCCATCCAGGCTCAGAACGCTGGCCAGGAGATCCAGGGTATGAAGATCTGCGACCACCAGGGCACCGGATGCTCCAGTATCTCCAAGGCGGCCAGCAGCGTCATCAACGCCTACACTGCTGCCCTTGCTGCTGCCGATGGCATCGGTGGTTCCCTGTCCTCCGGCCCCGTCCGTCTCCAGGTCACCATCGACTTCGAATAGACGTGTCTCGTCATCGATTCGTTCAGATTTCTTTTTCTTTTCTCTTCAAATATTCCCTTCGGTAAACTTGGCTTGGGGTTAGGGTGTTTTTGTGTGTGTGCAGGCCTGCACCGGGTCCTTCGGGGTCTGTCCCTCGCAGCTGGAAGTGAGGGTTACATTGCACGTCCGACCCTTGCCGTGCTGCTAGGATCTGCTTGCTTGATACGTTCGATTGTACATACATCCATATACCACCGTGATTATTGAGTTATGAGTAACTTCAGTATACTCGATCAAGTTCTAGTGTATATTTTTAATTCTTAAACTTTATACTGTAACCGAATAAACTAAACCCCTACTCGATTTGCATATACTTGTAGAGTACTCTATGTTTCACCTAGTCCCCTAAATCATACTTGAACTTAATTATTTAACTGAACCCGGATCACCTATCGCTACATCTCTCATCTGCTTATGTTTCCCTATACCTGGCTAAGTACTAGTATCTCAGACTCTGCATGCAATCACATGGGAGCTTGAGATATAACTACTTAATACTTAATATATACCTTTCATACATAGCATAAACACACTCATTTCGGATTGGAAAAACTCAACAATAAACCAATACTATAGAAGACCATGAATACATATGACCAGGATCTAACTAGCCGAATTATTCGCTAGATTCGCTCACTTTACCTAAATAGTTAACTTAATACTCGAAATGGCTGGCTACTAATCAAAATCATAGCACTACGACAACACCCACCACATTGAGAAGGTTAATGCCAATTTGTCATGTATAATCCCAATTTTAAGTCCATCATACGGTCTTCGTATCACTAATTACTTCCATCACCTGAACCTCTGTCTAGTGTGTCCCGGTTGCCTATTAGAACTGACACGCTCTGGGGTTCTTGTAGAATCTTACTTACGGGCAGTTGAATCTATCTACTGCCAAATCATCATAAAGTCCCCCCGCACAGAACGGGTGGAATAACTCTACGCTTACCAATATTGCTAATAGCTGAAGAACGACATGTGCAAAGTTAGTTCAGTTAATAAAACAGCACCTATGACCTGGCTCTGAACATGAGGAACAGAAAGATGACAGATAGATAGGTGCCATCGCAGCAGAGAATTGCGCCATACCCGGCACAGCATATGAGCCTGTTAAAGGCTTCAAGGCGATCAGGTTGCGAGGAATATAATCAGTGATGCGGACAATTCCCTTCGCGCATATCACATTGGGTATAGAGGTAAGCCTTTAAGCTGTCTTTCACCACCGCGCTGGATGTGTAAGTCGTATAGCAATTCTTCTGCTGGGTTTAGCTACCCCAGGGGTTACTGCTAATTTGTTTACCTAGGGTTCTGACCCAAAATGACAGATTGATGTATGCTAGCGGCGAGAAACGGAACGGCAGGTGTCTATCTACTGCTGCAGGTGTAATGGGCTAACTGCGCTGCCCTCGTACGCCAGCAGGGTACTGTTGGCATGGACAGGCTCCAGATCGGGAACGTTATACCCCGCAGCGAGGTCGCTAGTAAAGAATCCATCCTCATCGTGGTCTTCTTTCTTGATAGTGACAAATACTCCGGGCGAGATTGGGCTCTGGATAGTCCTCTCTCGAAGGCTGTCCATATTGTATTCAAGGTCCGACTCCAACTCCTCGTCAGCGCGGCAAAGCTTCTTTGTCTGGCTGCTAGTTTGGACCACGCAGATCGAATGGGCCTTCCCGAAGCCTGGCACATCCGCAGGGAGACATCCGTTCGTATTGTGGATCAGGCCGACGATTCGGCCATCGCATGAATCAGACGAACAGAGGACAACGTCATACTGGTCGTCGTGGATGTTGTCAATCTTTATGAATACTGACTGGGTAATACTGTTCAGGCTCGTGCAAGCGCTAGGGCCCGCAAGTCGATGCACATTGATCTCTGGGCCATTGCATTTGTCCCCCTGATATTCAAAGATTCGATAGGAGCTCACAGGCAGTGAGAACGAAGACAAGGCAGCCAAGAAGAGTGGGATAGATGCCGAGGGCTTCATTTTGGCGGCTTTGGAAGGGTGAGTTCTGATGAGTGATAGTGGAGGAGAGAAGCAGGGTATTTATAGCTGCATTGACACTGCAGGTAGCCAATGGAACAACTCAAGATGGCTATAGCCCTTGCCTTGTCTCTTACACAATATTTGAAGGTGTCGCGAGAACTGTGGAGTTGCTTCTCTTACTCCTGCACTGTGACCGAGCTATATCCACTAAACTCGATGGTAGGTTCAGGTTTTTCAGGTTCATCCCTGGCCTGTCTACGGAGTTGTCGATACTTCTTACAGTCATTTGACGTTGAAGTGCAATCATCAAATTGTTGTAGCGATACTGTGCCCCTCACCTACCCACACAGCCGTTAGCCAACCACGTTTAGGCCATAAATCAGATCGCTGGCGGAGCCGGAGGGATTCTAACCCTGTCAGTGTCTCACCTGCGTGGTATCGCTTTGCACACCAAAGCACTTGGATCCAGTTCGCCGGAGCGCTAGTCAGGGCTCACATGAGGCAGGCTGAGAGAGGCCTGCGCGTGCAACCCCCCAAAGCAATCTATCTTGGTCGAAGCTGGAACCCAAACGGTCTAACGCTTTCATCCCAGTGCGACGGTGTCTTCCTGGACAGTTCGATGGGTCTGTCATTCAGTGGACCTAATTCTTCAACTAAGTCTATAAAGGTAAGGTATGTGAAAGAAGTAGGCAGTCATCTCACCATCAACTTATCCTGAAGTTGGAGTATTAGCCAACAGCTAACAGGTAGATATTGCATGTATACCTTTAGAACCGAGTTCACCTTCCAGATTTCCCATGGACATTTAACAAGTGCACCCCGCATCCGGAAGATATTCCCTGTAAGGTTGAAGGCCTGAGCAACCGCTAGTCATGTAGTTAGTTAGTTGGAGAACAGGGATCCCAGATTCTTCCATATCTAGGAATCAGTCCCCTTCCCTCCCTCCCAATCTCTCCTATAATCCCCTCTCACCATGATCTCTCCCGCAGAAGCCATCACTGCCATGTTTGGCGGGGTAGTCGCCCTGAATATACACCTCCTAATATCGAACCTCATCTCAGTCCCTCGGACTCTCTATTGCCTTTCCCTTGGCCCGACGTATGTCCTAGCTCTACAGGTGATGGTCGCGGTTTCTATTGCCCGGATGCAATGCATCATCCTGAATCAGCCATTTCAGCTCCGATCGAGGAAGATCAAAGCCCTTCTCTTTCTCTACGCTATTTTCCCAATGCCGTATCTTGTGATATTGGTGAATATCAAGGTCCTTCCGAAGGTGTGTGGACGTCGGTGTTAGGAGATAGGACCAACGGAAGTCGGCCAAGACGTCCAAGTCTCTCGATGGTTGGGACCGAGTGAGATGAACATGTCTTGTACTAGCCGATTCTCTCACATGTCTCCTTTATGTTTGCTCTAAATTGATCAAGCTATGGACGTACCTGGGGACCATTCTATCAACACTTTCACTCTCGTGGGAGGTCCTTCCCAGCCGACAGAGCACAGTATTCCTGTCCCGAAAGAAACCACCCCTCTGCAGTAGCGTGGATTGTGGGCTCGGGGGCACTCCGCATATACCTCGCTAGTACTAGGGACGGACAGGGCTCCGAAATTATACCATGCGTAGGGAGTAGGAAACGGAGATCCCAGGGGTGGCTCACAATGCGCATTGTAAGTGACTAGTAACTCTACGTGTACAGCCCATATCAGTCAGCCAATCAGGAGGAGAGGTGGTGTCTGGCAGACGTACTGTTGATGTTAGTAAGTAGAGAACTCTCACATTACATGATTCAAAGTAGGTCTGTTGTTGAGGGTAGAAACCCCGCGGTATATCATCTTTCTTTGTTCCATTCAGATCAAAAGTAATACATGTTTTCTTGGTATCTATGAACATGATACGTACATAAGCCTTGTCTCTTGTATGACTAGTTCTCTAGACTAGGATCTGATGAAGTACTATTGAGTAGATAGACAGCTAAATAGAAAGGCAGTCTGGAAGTATAAACATAAGTGACACACCACTGCTACATGCATACCACAAACATCAATCATAATAGAGTCTCCTAGTATATCAGCTATCACTATATCTCTATCTGACCCACTTATCCCTCCAAAAATATGACTTTCCACAAGCTATGCTTATGATCGACTGTAATCCCTGGCTTCATCTCGCCATCTGGAACCACATAAAATGGGATCTTATATAATACGCAGACTATACCATCTTTATGTGAGGATTGAAGGGGGTTGTGTTCAGATGGTGGTGGATGAGTGAATGTTCTCCTGACTATGACATGTGCAATTGATCTACTTATTATTTAAATATTCGCCAAATCTATGGATACTGTTGGTGGGTATAAGCCAAGCAAGTGGGGATACCATTGTCATATATGAATGAGCAGTAACTAGTAGGGATGAATACACTCATCAATTACACGATATACAGTGTGCTACGCTCGGCTGGGAATTTTGGACTTCTGAGGATTCAACAGATACTGGTTTGCTAATCGTACACCTCAAAATAGGGGAGGATATATTAATGAAACAATCTATCTAATATACACTATAGCTCACGCAGGATATTCATCGCGTCCGTTTCAAGATCTATTTCTCCTTCCCCTTCAGTTGCCACCTCAAACTCATCC